TTTTGTCATGCAATCTTCCTCGGACATTTCTTTACGTTCTAATGTGAGCGCTATAGCACTTCAATTCTATAGTGCCGCCACTGAGATGCATTGATTCTACTGATTCAATGCACCTCTGTGGTGTCACCATAATGCTGAAGTGCAGTACCGGTTTAGCCCTATAGCGCTTACAGTAGACCTCTTTTTTAAAAGTCCGAGGAAGATCGTGTGGCGGAAAAGGGTAGGGGGGAAACAGCACTGTTTGAAATGACTGTAGGGCTTCAGAGACGGCTCTTTAACAGAAGAAAATGTGCTGTTTGAAACGCCCAACCCTGTATGGCATTATTCGAAATCGGGCCATCAACGAAGAACATCCGGTTTTAGAATGGTAAATGTAGTTCTTCCTTCCTTATTATGCATTAAACCATGGTAAAGGTAAAGGTTCCCTTGCTCGAAAGCCAGTCAAATCCGACTCTAGGGTTGCGGTGCTCATCTCCGTTTCCAAGCCGAAGAGCCAGCGCTGTCCGAAGACATTTCCGTGGTCATGTGGCCGGCATGACTAAACACCAAGGCGCACGGAACGCTGTTTCCTTCCCACCGAAGTGGTGCTTATGTATCTACTTGCAATTTCTTGCTTTCGAACTGCTAGGTTGGCAGGAGCTGGAACTAGAGACGGGAGCTCACTCCGTCATGCGGCACCCAGGTCTCGAACTGCTGAACTACCGACCTTCCACAGCCTGCAGTTCAGCATCTTAACCACTTGAGCCACCGCAGCTCCTATTAAACCATGAGGAGAGCCAATGAGCCCCAACCTCTTCAAATGCACGTGTGGCACACCACAGTAAACTTGTTGTCAACTTTACAAGTAGAAAAGAGCAAGAGTCCAGGAACACCTTAAAGGCTAACAAAACATGCGGCAGGTGATGAGCTTTCGTGAGAGCCGTGACTCACGAAAGCTCCTCCCCTGCCACAGATTTTGTTAGCCTTTCAGGTGCTCCTGGACTCTTGCTTTTTTCCGCTGCCACAGACAGACTGACACGGCGACGCATCTTGATCTACCCTCAATAAGGCGCAGCAGGAGACTGAATAAGCTCTTTAACTTCTCATCTGCCACAGCCCAGAGAGCTCTCCTGAAAGCGTCCAAATCCAACAGTAAATGAAGGACCTTACAGAATCCATTGCTGCGGAAATCACCAAGGAGGCTGGAGAGAATTAGTCCCAAAGGGGTGAAGCTTGTTAAAGGAGGAGAAGGCTGGGTGCCTGCTAGGGTTGCCAGCAGTGTTCCCTCTAAGCTGAGTTAGTGTGAGCTAGCTCACAGTTTTTTAGCCTCTGGCTCACACATTTTTGTCTCAGCTCAGGAAGGAGGGGTCCAGAGCAGGCTAATTTATGCAGTAGCCAAATCACCTGCTCACAACTTTAATGCCAGGAGCTCACAAAGTAGAATTTTTGCTCACAGGACTCTACATCTTAGAGGGAACATTGGTTGCCAATCTCCAGGGGGCAGCTGGAGATCTTCCAGGTGATAGAAATCAGTTCCCCTAGAGAAAATGGCTGCTTTGGAAGGCGGACTCTATGGCTTTACACCCTACTGGGGCCCCTCCCCTCCCTAAACCCCGCCCTCTCCTGGCTCCACTGTAAATCTCCAGGTATTTCCCAACCTGGAGCTGGCAACCCTGGTGCCTGCTAAGCGTCCCCCTAAATGTTGGACAAGACTGCACGCTGTGTTCTAAGCAGTTTGGTTTAACAAAAAAAATAATTGGGCTGATGGACTCTGCCATCCAGAAAAGGTAGGCAGTCTTGGCCAATGGTTATTGTGTCCTAGTTGAAGGTACTTCCTTACTCGCGGTGGTAGTTTGTTTATTTACTACTCTTAAACCCTGCCTTTCCCCCCAAGGAGTTCCCTAAGTACCTTACGTCAGTCTCTTCTTCTCCGTTTTTATCCTCACAACAGCCCTGTGAGGTAGGCTAGGCTAAAAGGGTGCAACTGGCCCAAGATCACCCAGACCAGTGTTCCCTCTAAGCTGAGTTAGTGTGAGCTAGCTCACAGTTTTTTAGCCTCCGGCTCACAGATTTTTGTCTTCGCTCAGGAAGGAGGGCTCCAGAGCAAATTAATTCATGCAGCAGCCAAATCGCTCGCTCACAACTTTAATGCCAGGAGCTCACCAAGTAGAATTTTTGCTCACAGGACTCCACATCTTAGAGGGAGCCTTGACCCAGACAGCTTCCATCGCAGAGTGGGGAATTTGAACCATGGTCTCCCAGATCCTAGTTCGATACCCCAACCACTACACCACACCGGTTTAGGGGTAGGGTTGCCAATCTCCAGGAGGGACCTGGAGATCTCCCAGCAAACGAGATCAATTCCCCTGGAGAAAAAGGGCTGCTTTGGAGGATGGACTCTATGGCATTGTGCCCCACTGACGTCCTGCCTATCCCCAAACCAGGTTCCACCCCCAAAACTTCCAGGTATTTCCCAACCCAGACTTGGCAAGCCAACTTAGGGGCAGTGTTCCCTCTAAGCTAAGTTAGTGCGAGCTAGCTCACAGTTTTGTAGCCTCCAGCTCACACATTTTTTCTCAGCTCACGAAGGAGGGCTCCAGAGCAAAGTAATTGATGCAGCGGCCCAATCGCTCGCTCAAAACCTTAATGCCAGTCGCTCACAAAGTAGAATTTTTGCTCACACGTCTCCACAGCTTAGAAGGAGCATTGTTTAGCATGGTATATCCAGGGACTCTTACCTCGGTTTGAGGAACCGTGTTCTTCCAGGTGGAATTCTTTGCCCCGAGATTTTCTTCTCTCCTGCAGTGAATCAGTTCTCCAGTCCGAAGGTCCCTCTCTGCCTTCTCGCTGCCCTAAAGCTTGGATGCCCGATTGTCCCCTGGTTGGCTGTGTGAGCGGCAGCTCCGAGCAGAGCTCCTACCGTCCTTTCTGCATCATCTCCCGGTGCGAGACAGGTCCCTCCCACTTGCTAGGAAGCTGCAGGGCCTCATCATTACCATAATTACCTGCATCCCGGCAGCGGCCAGCCCTTGTTTTGAAACGTGCCATTTGGCCTGTGCTCAGCCCTGAAGACTTTGAATCCAGTTCTTAAAATATCAAGGCCGGGAAAGGGATTGGGGACTCAGGACTCCCGAACGGAACACAAACTCCAGTGGCTATCTAGCAAGGGATGAGAAACCGGTTTACAGACTGCTGCTATCAGAAGAGCATTATAGACGTATCAACCCAGGCTTACACATGGGATCCGGGGAGCCAGTTTGGTGTAGTGCTTAGGAGCATGGACTCTAATATGGGAGAACCGGGTTTGATTCCCCACTCCTCCACTTGCAGCTGCTGGTGTGACCTTGGGTCAGTCACAAGTTCTCTCAGAGCTGTTCTCTCACGAGCCGTTCTCGAGAGAGCTCGCTCAGCTCTCTCCCACCTTCCTCCCAGGGTGTCTGTTGTGGGGGAGGGAAGGGAAAGGAGATTGTAAGCCGCTCTGAGACTCCTTCGGGTAGTGAAGGGCAGGGTATAAATCCGACCTCTCCTCTTCTTCAAGGGCAGTCCACGAGAGAGCTCTCTCAGCCCCACCTACCTCACAGGGTGTCTGTTGTGGGGAGGGGAAGGGAGTGTGTAAGCCGCTCTGAGTGAAGGGTGGGGTATAAATCCGACCTCTCCTTCTTCTCCTTCATCCATGGGAATTGTAATTCAGCATGTGAGCAGCCAGGGCTATTTTGGGGCAGGAACGCACAGAAACGGAGTTCCGGCTGGCTCCCAAGCTGGCCACGCCCAGCAGGAACTAATTAGCATAATAGTCCACACCCAACAGCAGGAACTCATTAGGATTGGCTACATTAGGGGTGTGTGGCCTAACATGCAAAAGAGTTCCTGCTACAACAAAAGGCCCTGGGTTTTGACAACAAACAAGGTAAACAGAATAACAAGCAAAAGGTGGGTGTGGCTGGATGACCACACTTCTGGTAACATGTGGGTGCGGCCTAATGTGCTAATGAGCTGTGCTGTCAGGGGTGTGGCCCAATATGCTAATGAGTTCCTGCTGTTGGGTGTGGCCTATTATGCTAATTAGTTCCTGCTGGGCGTTTTCTACAAAAAGAGCCCTGTAACAGCTAAGGATTTCCACTTTTCAGAACCCACACCAAATGACAGTTCCCACCTAAGACTGGGTGGGGCGAGAGCCCTGATAGTTACAATTTTATAAAACCCATATAGCTCTAGAGGTGGACTGGGGTCCCCAACGTGCTGCCCGTGGGCGCCATAAGCGCAAGCCAACAACTTTCCTAGTGCCCGCCAAGTGTTTTAGAAAAGTGGGTGGGCCTAGGTGGGGCTTTTGCCCAGCAGGGCTGCTGATTGGCTGTGTCGATTAAAAGGCATCCTTCAGCTCCGTGGGGGACCCAAAGCCTCCTTTTCTTCTTCAACTTAGTCTCCCAGCTCTGTGCGGTAGGGGAAGCTGGGAGCGCACGACCGGCCCAAGGTCACCCAGCCATCTTCCCTGGCAGACTGGGGATTCGAACCTGGGTCTCCCCGGATCCTAGCCTTTCACTCTAACCACACTCACTGCCCGACATGGGAGAGCAACATGAGGGAGAGCAACACTTTTTTCATTCTTGGTTCTTTTACTTTTCTGACTGCGCCAGCCTTCCAGGCTCTGTGCATCAGCTGCTCTCTGATCACAGTCATGAGAAAGAGTTGGGGAGATCTCTCAGCCATCTCTTACAAGCAAGGCTCATGTTCTCTGAGGCAGGCTCATGTTCTTCTTGCCAAACACAGGGGTCATTTCGTAGAAAAAGAGGTGCAGGAGCTCATTAGCATAACTCACTAGCATAACCTATTTGCATATGCCACACCCCCTGACATCACTGGAAGTGTGTCAGAAAGCAACACCCACCGCTCAGGCTCCACTGGACTGTTTCGGATTGCTAGCTATTGGGGGGGGGGGGGAAACGTGCAGATCTGTCCTCACAGAGGAGGGAGAGCTTGTACCTGAATAAAACGTGGTCTTAAAGGTGTCACTGGACTGTTTTGGACCGGGGGCGGGGGGGCTCTGCAGCTTATCTGGCTGCTTCTTGCTCTGACTGAGGGCTGCTGGGAGCAGGGGGCGGGGCTTGTTGCATGTGCCCGCCCCCTGGGCTCCTTACTGCCGGAGCTCCGCTCCTGCAGGAAATGACCCCTGGCCAGACAGGAGGACAAGGGTGAGAGGGGCTTGCCGAAGGCTAGTGTCTCCTAGGGATGCCATCCTCCAGGTGGGACCTGGGGATCCCCTGGAATCATAGATCACCTCCAGACTACAGAGATCAGTTCCCCTGGAGAAAATGGATACTTTGGAGGGTGGATTCTATGGCACTGGACCCCACTGAGGTCCCCGTCCTCCCCAGGCTCCATCCCCAAATCGTTGGGAGTTTTCCATCCTGGATTTGGCAACCCTTCACCCCCCATCCCCTCCTGGTGGCCAGGGGGGACCTGGCAACCCTCGTGTGTCCGTTCAGGCAAGAGGGAAGATGTGAAGCCGGCGCTTGCCAAGATCACAGCGGAGCTGCTCAGGGTGGTTTCCGGCTTCACTCGCACTCGCTTCAGATTGGTCTGAGGGCGCCAGGGCTGGGTGTCGTGCCGGGGATTCAAACTTTAAAGCCAGTGAGGCGTTCTGGCAGTCCAAGGCTCCCTCTGGTGCTAGCTAGCAATATACCTGTTCCAGTCAAGCACTGCATGTGTCTTCTTCGGGGGACGACAGCAGAGGACATCTTTGCCTGGGAGCTCACCGTGGCTCTCAACCATTCTGCGCAAACACGGACATCAGCTATGTAAATGGCAGGTTCTTTCCCCTCAGATAACAACGCTCGTCATGAGCTTTGTTGACCAGGAGCCCTCAGACTTTTGAACACAGGTCTTTGAGATACCAGGTCAAGCCAACAGCTTTTCCGGGGGGCCCATTCTGAGCAGGCTGTGCAAGGTTGTTGTTGTTCAGTCGCACAGTCGAGTCCTCTTCGCGACCCCATGGACCAGATTACGCCAGGCCCTCCTGTCTTCCGCCATCCTCTGAAGTTGGCTCAACTTCATGTTCGTTGCATCTATGACACTGTCCATCCATCTCATCCTTTGCCGTCCCCATCTTCTTTGACCTTCAATCTTTCCCAGCATCAGGGTCTTCTCCAGTGAGTGCTCCCTTCTCATTGGGTGGCCAAAGTATTTGAGCTTCAGTTTCATTATCTGGCCTTCCAGGGAACAGTCAAGGTTGATTACTTTTAGGATTGACTGATTTGATCTCCTTGCAGTCCAAGGGACTCTCAAGAGTCTTCTCCAGCACCCTAGTTCAAAAGAAATAGACCGATTTCAAAAGCCGCTGCCCCCGCCTCCTCACTCCCCCCCCCCCCCGATTGTATGCGTCGATTTCCCACTGTTTGCCGCACGACCACAGTTTGACCCGTGGCTTCGCCCAATTTTCCCCGCGCGTCTTCTCGGTCCTGTTCTTTGAGGATCCAGAAGACGCAGGTGGAATCTGGTGAAGCTGCAGGGCCAAAATGCAGCCGCGGCAAGTAGTGGGAAATTGACACATACAATCGGGGGCGAAGGGGAGAGTGAGGGGAGAGCAACGGCTTACATAAGAACATAAGAGAAGCCTATGTGGGATCAGGCCAGTGGCCCATCCAGTCCAACAATCTGTCACACAGTGGCCAGAAATACCAGGTGCCATCAGGAGGTCCACCAGTGGGGCCAGGACACTAGAAGCCCCTCCCACTGTTGACCCCTCTCCCAAGCACCAAAGAAACAGAGCATCACTTGCCCCAAACCGAGAGTTCCTATCTATACCTTGTGGCTAATAGCCACCGATGGACTTGTGGGAAAATGGTCAGAATGTCACAGAGTCCGCCCTCCAAAGCAGCCATTTTCTCCAGGGGAACGGATCCATGTCACCTGGAGGTCAGCTGTAATTCCTGGGTGTCTCCAGGCCTCACCTGGAGGTTGGCAACCCTAGCCAGTGATTTGGTCTAGCGTCAAGATAAAGATCACCGCAGACTGTGACAGCAGCCATGAAATTAAAAGACGCCTCCTCCTTGGGAGGAAAGCGATGGCGAACCTAAACAGCATGATAAAAAAGCAGAGACATCACCCTGCCAACAAAGGTCCGCATGGTCCAAGCAATGGTATTCCCAGTAGTCATGTATGGCTGCGAGAGTTGGACTATAAAGAAGGCCGAGCGCTGAAGAATAGATTCTTTTGAACTATGGTGCTGGAGAAGACTCTTGAGAGTCCCTTGGACTGCAAGGAGATCAAATCAGTCAATCCTAAAAGAAATCAACCCTGACTGTTCCCTGGAAGGCCAGATAATGAAACTGAAGCTCAAATACTTTGGCCACCCAATGAGAAGGGAGCACTCGCTGGAGAAGACCCTGATGCTGGGAAAGATTGAAGGTCAAAGAAGACGGGGACGGCAAAGGATGAGATGGTTAGACAGTGTCATAGATGCAACGAACATGAAGTTGAGCAAACTCCAGAGGATGGCGGAAGACCGGAAGGCCTGGCATGATCTGGTCCATGGAGTCGCGGAGAGTCGGACTCAACTGTGCGACTGAACAACAACAAGAAGAAGATAAAGCAGGGGTGGGGGGGATGCCATTTTTTGGGCTGTTGGATTCTGTGGCACTTTAAGTGTCTCCCGTTTCAAGGTCTGCACTGCAGTCCTTCCACACAGCAAGGGCGGGCACACAGAGTGGCAGTTTGCCGACAAAGGTGCGGGGCCGGAAGGGGAGGGGCCGGAAGCGGAGGAGGAGGGCTGGCACTTGGACGGGGAGGTAACTGGGCTGCCTGGTGCACGCCGCTTGAGGGGGAAGAATTCTACCTGGAAGCAATGGCTCCCTCTAAGCTGTGGAGTCCTGTGAGCAAAGATTCTACTTTGTGAGCTACTGGCCTTAAAGTTGTGAGCAAGC